TAGAGCCACCGAATTTTCCGTCACAGCATACCTTTGCTCCAGATTCATAACCGCCTGGCCAACGCAAGTTCGACAGACATGCTCCGAGCTGAGCGCGCCCGAACGCATGCCTGTCCAGCCGAGAAAGCAGCTCACTCATCTCGACCACGAAAGTACCACTGATGAACAAGATGCGCACTCAATCGAACATAATCAAGTTCGGCATGTCTAGCGAAAACACTGGGCATAGAAACATATTTTCGTCCGAGTGGTTGAAACCCAAAAGCGTTGCCAATTCAGAAAGAATATTACCGCCCCCGTGCGCAGCGGCTTGCAACCTCTGAAGAACTGCCGTGACACTTTCCTTTGTGGACCACGCACTCGTCAATTTCTAAACATGTGCTCTGGAGACGGCGCCCCGTGACGTCAGGCAACCACTTGGACTTGTGAGAAACCACATTTTGACACAATGGGCAAAGCTTGTGGCCACTGTGCCCCTTGCACAGCGTGCTCAACTTGTGCGCCGAGAGATCTTGAAGCACCGCAAACACCTCCCCGAACGCCAGCCGTGGGGTGCCCAAAGAAAGGTCTAGGTGCAGGCCGTTTTTCAAATTGAATGGCGGAGCAAAGCGCGTGTGAAGCAACCGTTTGAGCAGCTGACTGACCCCGCCGTTGAGCCGATCTACCTGATTTGCGCGGATGGCCGACATTGTGAACCACCACTCCTCCTTACAAAGGCACCCGGGCGGTAAGTCTGCTAGCGACAAATAAATCCCATGGCATTTACGATAATTTCTAGAGTTGAGTTGTTGGCCTGGTGTGACTTCGTCACTATCCGCCAACGTGGCCCATGACACGTTGAGGCATGCGAGATGGCGATGGGTGCTGTCTGGTAGTCAGCGAGAGCGCCCCTCCCCCTACCCCACCACATCCGTTGCCCCCGATCGCATTGCACCTTTATCCCCTTACCTTCCACTTTTGCAACCCCTCAACCACCATGCCAATCCCCACCACCTGCCCGCGGCCGTCGCGCACAGCCCGCCGCGGCGACGCCGCGAGAGAGCGCTAAAGGCCGAGGGGCTGGGGAGCGCGCGGGGGAGGAGGAGGAGGGGGAGGGGGGGGGAGTGGGGGGTGGAGGGGGGGGGGGGGGGGGGAGGGGGAGGAGAGGGATCGAAGGGCATCGGTCCAAGTAAGCGGTTTGGGTCGCCACCTGCAGCAATGCGCAATCAAGGCGGGCGGACAATCGGCGGATTGACCGCCGTGAGGCTGGCCGAGAAGGGCTTGCCCCCCCCCCCCCCCCGCGCCCCCCCCCCCCTCCACCTGCTCGCGCTTCTTCCTCCTTCCCCCCCCCCCCCCCCATCCGCGTCCTCGTTCTCGTTCCCGCGCCCGCTCCCTCCACCGTCTGCTCCTAGGGCGAGGAGATAGCCGAACGCTGCGATGAGCAGAAACAAAAGAACCCCAGAGGATGTTGCCGAGGAAGCAGCTCAAGGAGAAAAGAGAGAAGAGGAAAAGGAAGCGCGGCGCCCAGCCCGATCGGGCTGCACGCTTGTCGCCCGCGCGGCGGCCACCACCAATTCATTCTCTCCTCCACCCCTCGGCCTTCCACCCGCAATGACATCCTCGCGAATGCCAATCTAACCATCTTCGCCCGCTCAGAAGCGTTTTCGACACCATGAGCGACGATCTATAAATCTGCAAACAAACGGCTTCACATGTGACGGCGCGTCTCGTTCGCGCGCGCGCCCTCATCCTGCAAAGGCGCCCCGTGGCCGCCCCGAAAAGGCCGAGGTGTCGCGCATGACGGTTACGGCGATCGCGGAAGCGGCTGAACGACATTACCAGCACTATGATCAGACGCATCGCAATTGTCCGCCCAGAAACGGCAGGGATGCCACACGTGACCAGCCCGAAAAATAAATGCCGAAGGTGTCACATGTCAACGCCGCAGAATGCGCTATCCCGCAGCCGCCTAACATCGTGCTCGGGGTTCTCATATAGCATTATCCAGAGCATTCTCACGAACATGAATAGATCAACATTCTTACAATAGAAGCGACAGGTCACATTGGATGTTCCCCGCGCAATACGTGGTCATGTCATCAGTTCTATCGTCGCCACCACCACCACCATCGAGACATGATGCTCATAGTTGCGATGCGCCAGCGTCACTATATGCACCCTTTCTCGCGAACGGGTTGCCATTCAACGCCTGCCGCGGCAACAGGACAGGCACGGTGGCAGGGCGTGCCGACGGCAGCTGTATACAATACCATTCTGACTTTGCCACCCGATTTCTCCAGCGCACCTGCAGTCGCATCGCGCACATGTGGGGATTGCTTGCAAGCTACCTCTAGAGCGGCCAGCGGGCGTTGAATCGGAACTGCCATTGCATCACCATCGTCATCCACTAAACCAATATGTTGGACCAACGGGCCAAACGTTGTCTTCTGGCTGCAGAGTGATTTGCGTTGCCTGCGCCGCGCCCCCTCGCCGGCGGCTTCAGGGATCCCGAATTCTCGCGCACCCGTCAAAATCTTAGCAAGGGCGGCGTTCGATACGCGACTCTCCCTGCCGAAATCAAGAAATCTCTGTCGCTTAATCATGGCGGTTTCTTGAAGAGAAAAGGGCTACGGAACAGCGCCGTCGTCGTCGTGGGCCCGACCGTTGGCGCGCGCAGTGTCTGAACGGTCCGACGGCGTGTCGGTGTGACGGGGGGAGGGG